CAACATTAGAATCATATCTTAAGCAATTGACTGTTTCATGGCCCCTCCTTGCATCAATCATATCTTTCGATGGATAATTCGTCGAACGAGGTTGAAGATATGATCACTGTGCTACAGTGGAACTGCCGTAGTCTAGTGCCTAAACTAGACTCGTTCAAATTTTTACTTCACAATTCTGATTGTGATATATTTGCTCTCTGTGAAACATGGCTTTCTTCCGATAAAGAACTCAACTTCCACGATTTTAACATTATACGCCTGGATAGAGACGATTCTTATGGAGGAGTACTTTTAGGGATCAAAAAGTGCTACCCTTTCTACAAAATTTCCCTTCCTGCTCTATCAGGCGTCGAAATCGTCGCTTGCCAAATAAATGTGAAGAACAAAGATCTTTGCATAGCTTCAGTATACGTTCCACCAAGAACCTCCATTAGCCGTAGTCAACTCTGGAATCTAGTTTCGATTCTTCCATCCCCAGTATTAATTCTGGGTGATATGAACTCCCATGGTACTGGGTGGGGCGATCTATATGACGACAATAGAGCGGCTATTTTTTACGATTTATGTGACGATTTCAATTTAACTATTTTGAACACTGGTGAAGCGACACGTATAGCAAAACCTCCGGCTCGAGAAAGCCGACTCGACCTATCTTTGTGTTCAAGATCGCTATCATTGGATTGTCAGTGGAAGGTTATCAATGATCCCCATGGTAGCGATCATTTGCCAATCATCATTTCAATAAAGTGTGGCCCTCACTCTGCAGAACCATCTCGGGTTCCATTTGATCTTACAAGGAACATCGACTGGCAGAAATATGCAACGGCGGTGACAATCGGTGTCGAATCAATAGATGCGCTTCCACCATTGGAAGAATATCGATTCCTAGCCGATTTGATTTACAAAAGCTCACTGGAAGCACAAAAAAGAAAAGTTCCAAGTGCACCCTTTAAAAGGAGACCAGCTACACCTGGTTGGGACGAAGAATGCACAAAATTGTATGTAGAGAAATCTGATGCTTTCAAAGTTTTTCGTAGACACAATACCTCCACTTACTTCGAAGAATATTCAAAGCTTGAGACAAAGCTGAAACAATTAATCAAAGCAAAAAAACGCGGTTATTGGCGCAATTTCGTCGAGGGACTCTCACGAGAAACCTCAATGAACACCTTGTGGAGGGTGGCTCGCAACATGCGTAACCGCTCATCTTTCAATGAGAGTGAAGAATACTCCAACCGATGGATATTCGATTTCGCTAAAAAGGTCTGTCCGGACTCAGTTCCAGCACAAAATATTCTTCGAGAAGCGTCTCCTAGCGGCGGCTCTCTGGATAGACCATTCCCAATGCTGGACTTCTCTATGGCTCTTCTTTCATCGAACAACTCCTCACCGGGAAGCGATATGATTAAATTCAATCTTCTGAAAAATCTCCCAGATATCGCTAAAAGACGCTTGCTAGATTTATTCAATTCCTTGCTAGAAAACAACATTGTACCGCCTGAATGGAGACAGGTCAAAGTAATAGCCATTAAAAAACCTGGCAAATCAGCGTCTGATCATAACTCATACCGTCCGATTGCTATGCTTTCGTGCATTAGGAAATTGTTGGAGAAAATGATCCTTCGGAGACTCGATCACTGGGTCGAATCAAATAACATGCTATCAAATACACAGTTTGGGTTCCGCAAGAGCAAAGGAACAAACGATTGTCTAGCGCTGCTTACCACAGATATTCAACTGGCCTTTGCGCACAAGGAGCAATTGGCTTCAGTATTCTCGGACATTAAGGGGGCTTTTGATTCAGTTTCCATTGAAATTCTGTCAGACAATCTGCACAGATGTGGACTTTCCGGAATTTTAAATAATTTCTTGTACAATTTGTTGTCAGAAAAGCAAATGAACTTTTCCCTTGGACAACTGACAACTTCCAGAATTAGCTACATGGGCCTGCCCCAAGGCTCATGTCTCAGCCCTCTTCTTTATAACTTTTATGTCAAAGATATCAACAAATGTTTGGCAGAACAATGCACGCTAAGACAACTTGCAGATGACGGTGTGGTTTCCATAAGAGGTCCACATGCCGTGGACTTGCAAGGACCATTGCAAAGTTCCTTAGATAACTTGTCTTCTTGGGCTAGGAATCTAGGGATCGAATTCTCGCCGCAGAAAACTGAACTGGTAGTGTTTACTCGAAAGCGGTACCCAGCCCAAATGCATCTTAATCTTTTGGGCAGAAACATTACCCAATCATTGTCTTTCAAGTACCTTGGGGTCTGGTTTGATTCAAAGTGCACTTGGAATACCCATATTAGGTATTTGAAGCAAAAATATCAGCAGAGGATCAACTTTCTCCGTTCAATTTGCGGCACATGGTGGGGTGCTCATCCAGGAGACCTCATAACGCTTTATAAAACAACTATTCTCTCTGTTCTAGAGTACGGCTCTTTCTGCTTTCTTTCGGCAAGAAAAAGTCACCTAATAAAATTGGAACGAATTCAATATCGTTGTCTGCGTATTGCTCTAGGCTGTATGCACTCAACGCATAACATGAGTCTCGAGGTTCTGGCAGGAGTAACACCCCTCCAGAACCGTTTCTGGGAGCTCTCTCTCAGAATACTAATCAAATGCGGAGTGACGAACACACTTATAATTGCTAATTTTGAAGAAATTCTTGGGCTGAACACACAATCTCGATTTATGAGAATCTACCACCACTACATATTCACCAATCGCAGTTCCTCAATTGAATATCATCTGACCATGAAACAAGTAACTCATGGGATTCCCGATTAACTTCGACCTATTATTATCCCACGTATTTTTACTGAAAAGTACCAACACGTCAATTGCGTAAACAGATATTTTACAGACGGGTCACGTCTCAATGGATCCACTGGCTTCGGTGTCTTCAATGAAAACTCTAGCGCCTTCCGCAAACTTCAGGAACCTTGTTCTGTTTATGTTGCTGAGCTGGCAGCAATCAACTTCGCATTGGGGATGATTTCCAACATGCCCGCAGACCATTACTTCATCTTCACGGATAGTCTCAGTTCGATTGAGGCTATTCGGTCGATGAAACAAGGTAGGCACTCATCTTATTTCCTTTCAAAGGTAAGGGAGCAGATGTGTGTGCTGGTCGAAAGATCATATATGATTACCTTTGTATGGGTCCCCTCACATTGCTCAATCCCAGGCAATGAGAAGGCGGACTCTCTCGCAAAGGTGGGCGCGCAGGAAGGCGAATTGTATGACAGGTAAATTTCACACGATGAATTTTACCATTTAGTGCGTCAGAGTACCTTTTCGAGTTGGCAAACCGATTATGACACTGGAAATCTTGGACGGTGGTTACATTCAATTATTCCTAATGTTTCTTCGAGAGCGTGGTTTAAAGGCTTGGGCTTAAGTCGTGACTTCATTCGCGTGATGAGTAGACTTATGTCCCACTACTACTCGCTAGATGCTCATCTCAATAGAATAAACCTCGTGGACAGCAACATCTGTCGGTGTGGAAACGGTTACGATGACATCGAACACGCAGTTTGGCAATGTACGGATAATGATGCCGCCAGAGAGCGACTTTTGAATACCCTCGAGGCCCAAGGAAGACAACCCTATGTTCCTATCAGAGACGTGTTGGCAACCCGTGATCTCTGCTATATGCAGTCCGTTTATGTTTTTCTTCAAATGTCTAGTATAAGAATTTAATTTCTTTTGTCTTTTGTCTCTCTTTATTAGTTTTTGTTTGTCTTGTCCCCCCGTCTCGATGAGTCTCATCGTCGCCCACTGGTCACCCACCATAGCCGGTCGAACTCCGGACGAAGCTAGAACAGCACTACCGTTCATACTGGCGACAACGCTCTGATGAGACAACGAAACCCTACCCCAAGCTCCTCCCCTGATCCTATCCTTCGAAAATGTACCCTTCTAACCTCGAGTAAGCCGCGAGTAATCGGCCCAACTCCTACTAGACATAGAATTAAGTGAATTTTGTTGCACACAGTGAACAATGAATTATCGGCTCCGTAAAGCTAACGCGATTGAGCCTTCCAAATAAACGAACTAGATAAAAAAAAAAAAACTCAAGTAACGATAAGATGTGATATGAGGAGCTCCGTGGCCTTAGAGCGACAATTTTTGTTTACTGAGCATAACATCATGATTCTAATCTGAGGCCCGTCCACATTCAAGATTCGTCAATCGTTTTATTTGTTAATATGACTGCATGGTAATAACAGCATTCGATGATTAGCGGTGCCGGTGGTGTAGTGGTAAGCGTGATTGCGTTTCACCCCGCAGGCCTGGGTTCAATCCCAGTCGGCACCACCGGGATGTTCTGAGGCATAACATCTCTGATCACGCCTTCCTTCGGAAGGGGAATAAAGCCGTTGGTTTCTGGTTCATGAGTTGATAGGTAGGGTCCAGGTGTGGAAGCATGCCTCCTAGGCGTCGGTAGCATTGGTGCTCAGCAAGGAAAACAAGATCGACGGAAAACAAATCAAGAAGTAAAGTAGTATTAATAGCCACCAAAATGAGGGCTTAACGGTTAGATTTAACTTGGAGAAGCAACTTGTTTTTTCTAATGTTCAATTTTCAGGCTCTAAATGTATCATTCCTGCTCCATTCCTATTCTGGACCACTGCTTCCATTTAATAAAATTAAATCAGTTCTTCGATACTAATCCTCCATAACGCCGCAAGGAAACGCCAAAAGAAATAACATGATATCTCATCCGCACGTCAGCCCAATTAATTTTCCTATTCAACACCTTTGCCGGTCAGCTCCACTCAGGCACGGTAGAAGCAAAACGGCGAAGCAACAACCTTAAACAAGGTCCATGTTTCTAACGTTTCCCAGACAGAATCGGAATTCCGGATTTTTTTTCCTGCGTATCCCCCTAACCCGCTCACTTTCATCTGGGCCGCATTCCACAACCGGCTGCCGCAAAATTGCTTCAGACAGAACGAAGATTAATGCTTTTACGGAGAGACTGAGCTTACCTGAGCGGATCCTTGATGTGGATGTACCGGTCCAGCGAGATGGCGCACAGATTCAGGATGGAAGCGGTTGAACACATAACATCGAACGCCACCCAGGTGTCGCAGAACTGGGCCCCGAATATCCAGTAGCCTGCGAGAAAAAATGCGATGAGAATGTGGCACAGTGGTTGGTATTTCGGTATGGCTGCGGATGGTTTAATCATCAACGACGACGACGACGACGGCAACCAAAATCAACTTTGCTGCAAGCCTTTCGCCAAAACTGATCCAGATTGCCATAATGATAGCACTTGGCGAGGGAGCGTTCATACAATCAAAATCACTTCGATAATTACAAGCGAAAAAGCTTTCCCGGTGCCCACTAAGGTACACCACGGTGAGTTTTCCATGTCGTTGATGGAACGCCGAGGGCTATCCTGCCATGATGAAATGATGAAAATGGATTCTTAAGAGTTGATGGAAATTTCAAATGACCGTCGTCCTGCTCCGGACAGGTGCGAAGTCCATCGGCTGAAACAAGAATCGTGTCAAGCTTGTTTCATACTGGTTGGGGAAAAGTTTAGCATTGCGGACTGCCAAAGAGGGCACTTGCTTGCTATCCGCATTGGGCGAAGGAGTGAAATGCAATTTCGTAATTTGATCAGTTATCTCGAATGATGGCGCATGTAGGAGGATAAATGAAAATGGATTAGTTGTTAATGATCGTTGAGCGCATCTCGTAGCTGTAACTGGAATATTTAGCGGATGGTGTCCATTTATACAAGCAATTCAACGGTGCCTCAAGAGCGAAACGATTCTGATAATGGTATCTGTGTTAAAGTCAAAAAGCTTTATTTCATCTCACATTCCATCACTAAGCCCCAAATCCCTTTTTCCGCAATTTCCTTAAGCCACAGAATCAACGAAAGCTTTCAACCTGGACACGTTTTCGCTTCTAAACTGTTGATTATTTTTTAAGGTTCATCCCCATTCATATTCAATGTCCATCAATGTCAGCCACGCTTTGCTGTCTATGAAGCCTATGGGGAAAAACCGGAGGATTCAGAGAGACACTACCGGTGTCGGTAGATGGAGGATTCCCCAAAACTCGACTGATTGATTGATCGCTCCCCCATTAGCGCCGTCTGTTCTCAGATTCATTTCCCCTCCAGCGAAATCGATTACAATACGGTTGCGTTCGTCATCATCGTCGTCGTCGTCGTCGTGAGGCCGCTGCTTACCTAATAAATCATTGACACCGGCGAACGTCATCACCAGCGATGCCACGAACAGATCGGCGATGGCAAGCGACGCCAGGAAGAGATTCCCGATCCGCCGCAGGCTCCGCTCGGTGTAGATTGCTATGCACACTAGGATGTTACCAGCTACGGACAGAAATATCACAATCGATAGGAAAACACCTGTAACGAGAGATGATGGCCGGTTTTATTCGGCGAATGTAATCCTGAACTGCAAACGTAAGGAATCTCGGTATTGACAATTTGGAAGGTTCACCTTTGAAATTCGAGACCAAGATGATTTCCTATGCATATAAACGCCACTTACCGAGAAACGACATCGATAGAGGCGATAAAGCGTCCACGTCGTCATCGTCGCCGTCGTCGGGTCCAGTGCCACCGCCTCCTCCTCCCCCACCGCTCCCTCCGCCATCGCCGGACCCGTCGGTTTGGTTGGCCACCGCCGTTAGGTTACATATTGTAGTCGCAGATACTACCTGGAAAATTGAAAACAAGAGAACATGTATATTAGGGTGGTTCAAAATATCAGTCGATCAAAATCAATCAAATCGGGCGCTGATCATTCTCGCAAAATGTGAGCTTATTTTGATGCGAACTCATACTGCACTGGCCCTTTGCAGTTTATATGGTATAGTCCAGCGTTTCTCAATATATGGTGGGTCGCAAGCTGCCCATAAATGGGTCACAGGAATTAAATTTTTAAAATTATATGGAACCAAACCTGAGTTGGAGTTTGCTAAATTAAGAATTAATAAAAAAGTATCTTAAAATATCAAAAAAACCTTAAAATGGTTTTCATCATGATGGTGGAAGGAAATATAACTCAGCTTCTCGTGATCCAAATTCGATTGCGATTTTCCATGAAAAAAAGAGAACACTTCTCGTAATCCAGATTCGATTGCAATTTTCCAAGTATGTTGACTTCGCTTCTCGTAAGTCAAATTTGATTGCATTTTTCCAAGTAAAATTTGACTTCGCTTCTCGTAATCCAAATTCGAAGGCAATTTTTCAAGTCTATTTGACTTCACTTCTCGTAATCTTAATTTGATTGCGCATTTCCAAGTAAAATTTGTTTTCGCCTCTCCAGGTAAATTTTGACTTCGCTTCTCGTAAACCAAATTTGAATGCAATTTCCCAAGTAAAATTTGACTTCACTTCTCGTAATCGTAATATGATTGCACATTTCCAAGTAAAATTTGACTTTGCTTCTCGTAATCCAGATTCGTTTGCAATTTTCCAAGTAAAATTAGTTGTCGCTTCTCCAAGTAAAATTTGACTTCGCTGACTAGAATCCAAATTCGAAGGCAATTTTTCAAGTCTATTTGACTTCACTTATCGTAATCCCAATTTGATTGCGCATTTCCAAGTAAAAATTATTTTCGCTTCTCGTAATCCTGTTATGGCAGTTATCCACGGTCCATACACATTTTTAAAATTTTGTAAGGACAACTGTCAGGGGGGGGCCAAAAAAAAACTGGGGGGGGGGGTTGCAAGAATCCAAAAAAAAACTGTCAACGTAGTTAATGAACAGCCCCTTATTGCATGGGTAAAAATTCTTGAAATGTTGAGTAAAACTAGTTTAGAGTGAAATGTTTACATGTACAAAATCTCATCATAATCTGTCAAGTGGTTATCGAGGTGGCTTCCAAGCAAGAAGTGCGTCGACAAAAAATTATGGGAGAGGTCGTGGCCAGTCCCACAGGTGGATCGCGGAACAGTTTGGCATCGACAATTCAACCGTATCCTTTGTGGTAAAATCGTTCAAGGAGACTCAGACGAACCAGCGGCGAACTGGCAGTGGAAGAAAAGTGAAGCCGACCAACGATCCGGGACGTGGCCAAGAAGGTCAATTATTCCATTTGGTTCGTCCAGCAAACAATAAAGCGGGCCGGACTTCATGTCTTCAAGGTAAGGAAGGCGCCTAACTGAACCGATAAACAGAATACGGTAGCCAAATCCCGCGGCAGGAAGCTGTACCGCGAGTGGTTGGTGCAGCCGACGAGACGAACATTAAAGCGGACGCCAAGCAGATCCCGGGTTTGGAGTTTTTCGTCGGCAAGTCCCGCCTGGATGTTCCGGAGAAGTTCCGGAAGAAGAAGGTCGACAAATTTGCCAAGAAGTACTTAGTGTGGTAGACGATCTGTGGTTGCGGCAAATTCAGCAACTAGTACGTTACGACCGGCACCATCAACGGCCAACTATATAAAGAAGAATGCATCAAGAAGCACCTGCTGTCCTTCCTCTGGTCTCACGAAGGTGACACTCTGTTTTGGCCGGATCTGACATCGTGCCATTACGCGAAACCGGTGAAGGATGTTGTTTTTGTGTCGAAGGTGGCAAATTCACCAAACTCGCCAGAACTTCGCCCAATAGAAAAATTCTGGGTGATTATGAAGGGCAAGCTCCGGAAAACAGGGAAGGTCTTCAAAAACGACAAGGATTGGTCTATTCAATTTAGAATTTGGTCGCACAAAATGGGTCATTTCTTCAAAAGGAAAGAACATACAAAAACGGCAAATTATTCGTCAGGTTTTCGGATGAATTTTCGAATTTTTCGCTGAACATCTCTCATTATGTCCTGCACAATAGTACTGTCAACCTTATCTATCATCTTTTTCCACTACTTCTTCAAATCAGATGGTGTTTTGATTGTTTTGCCTCATTTCTTCAATATACGCTTGATAATTGCCTAAATTTTTCGATGGGACGAAAATCTGGACGATTTGGTGGATTGATCCTATTTTCAATAAAATCGACATTAGTCCGCTTTTTTTTCCTTTGGTTTGTTTTCTGTCGATCTTGTTTTACGTGCTGAGCACCAATGCTACCTACGCGCCAGGAAGGCAGCTCCCACACCTGGACCCTACCTATTGACCCATCAACTCATGAACCGGGGACCAACGGCTTTACTTCCCTTCCGAAGGAAGGCGTGATCAGAGATGTTATGCCTCAGAACATCCCGGCGGCGTCGACTGGGATTGAACCCAGGCCTGCTGGGGTGAGAGGTAATCACGCTTACCCCTACACCACCGGCGCCGTTACATTAGTCTGCTTATACCACTCTTCTTTTTTTCTTCGTCGGTCTCTGTTCCGCAATCTAGTGCCAATCACCGACGGACATCGATTGCCATCCATTGACGGCAACCGAATATGCAGGAAGGCAGCTTCCATACCTGCGTAGGATGAGTGTACCCCATTAAGCATAAATACGTTAGGCATACGGACGTTAGGCATACAGTCATTAGGCATAATGGACGTTAGGCATAATATACGTTAGGCATAAAATACCTTGCTGCTGTGTAACTCTAGAAACTTGTTTCGAGCATTGTAAACAATGCTTAAATGAGGCTAAGCGTTGAATAAAAGCTGATACAAGTTATACAAACATAGTTTACTTAATAAGCACAGGTTGGAATCCATTGTTTATCATAGCATAAGTGACGTAGCTACATATTTACTTAGATCCAAGATTAGTAGCGATAGCGGTTAAGTAATCTGGCTATAAAACTCAGCATAGTTTTGAACTATATCTTGAAATTAATAACATCTAGAAATAAAACAATAACACATTTGTTGTAATATATACTTAAACACATATTGCAATTGTCTAAGAAGAAAAGGTTTTCCTCAAAGAACAGGTAATGAATTAAGAATGGTGAATTCTATGATTTTTCATTCAATAACAAAACAACAGCTAAGGTTGAATAAAATATGATCCCAAAGAACAGTTTGTGGTTTTTTATTCAATAACAAAAAACATACCTGCTGCTTCCAGGATTTCCTGCCATACTTTCCGATAAATTCTGTTTGTGTTGTCATCAGAATAAAAACTAGTGGAACCGTCTGCTGATGTGAGAGAGCGGTACTTCCATTAACAGTGACGAGTTGCCGAAACAAACAAGAAATTGTGGCAAACGTACCATCTGCAATCAAATACTTTGCCTGTCCAAGACGTCGCAAGTTTTCATGAGTCCCAAAAATTAAGGCTCTTTCATTATTGTCACTGATTTCAGCAATCATTAGATGGTCCACATTATCATCCTTCTGGAATTCATCGGGTATATTATGCCTAACATCCATTATGCCTAACATCCATTATGCCTAACATCCTTTATGCCTAACGTCCATTATGACTATCGTACCTTATGCCTAACGTTCGTATGCCTAACGTCCGTATGCCTAACGACCGTATGCCTAACGTCGTGTACCCGCGTAGGATATCGTACCCATTCACAACATACATGGGCCGGGACCAACGGCTTTACTTCCCTTCCGAAGGAAGACGTGACCAGAGATTTTTATGCCTCAGAAAAATCCCACCGACCTCGGCTGGGATTGAACCCAGATCCATTGGGGTGTTAGAAAGCAGGCACGCTTACCACTACACCAACGGCGCCGGCGCTTATACCACTCAATGACATCCCTGCTGTAATGGCACCTGGCTAAGAACTTTACGGGACCTTCGTGTGACTGAATGAATGGCACAATTCTCTTCTGGAGATATTCCTCCTGGTAAAGTTGTCCATTCATAGTCGCTCCAGCGATGAAAACGTTTTTTTTTTCTTTCTACAACTGCAGATTTCTTGCCAAACAATCAAATTGCGAGCGAATTTATCTGCAAAGAAAAGTTTGAACTTATCCGGAGCATCCCCCTAACATTTGGAAAGGTAAAATTTTAGACCCGGAATTTGTCCAAAGTCCATTTTTACGTAAGTTACAGTCCATTTTTACGTAACTTACATTCGTAAGTTTGAATCCTTGTGAAATTTTCACCATTAAATAAACAATCCTTCCAGATCAAACGCTGTCAACAGTTTCTTGCTTCAACAACTAGAAACGCTACAGTAATGAAAGACTACAAGGGACAGCCCTATGGGGTTGTACGCAATGGCGACGTAGGACTTCGTGGTCATTAGACTGATGCAAATTTTGACATTTTCGCTCCACAGTGCTCAAACGGTTCCAAATCGGGTCTTGATTAGTCTCCCAAAATTTGACCTCATTTGAAAAAAAATTGACTTGGCACAAACCATTTGAAGTTCATATGGGAATTACTATAGGAAAACCAAATGTTTTGTTCATATCCATCTAACAATTTACCATATCGCTCTGCTTTAAAAAATGATAACTGAGCTCGTAGAAAATTTTCTCAGCTACAACTTTGTCGCAAACCACTTTTCAATATAATGTAAGCATCAAAAGTTATCAATACTTCAAGCCACTAATGTCTTACGATTATGCTCAGTCAACTGTTCAGCAGGCAACATTGGTGTTTCTGGCGCTTAGAATACAGTACAAAAATCATGGCTACTATGTCACACTGCAAGATACAGTGTTGCTCACAAAACAGCTGCTTGATCATGCCATAAGACTATCAATCTCTTAAACAATTAATAACTATTTTATTTGACGTTTGGCTCAACAACTATATTCTGCTAAGTTGAAGCTGAGAAAATTTTCCATAAGTATAGCTTTT